CAAAATCCCCCCCCCCCCCTCCCACCTGCGCACTCACTCCATTTGCCCCGATGTGTGGTTCGGGTCACATAGGCTGCAAGCCAAGTCGGCTCCAAGCTGGCGGTGTACGAAGGCCTGCTAGACGTACTGCTAGATGACGAGATGCAGCTTGTGGAGGCGATTGTGTCGCAGATGGACATTTGCGACGCCGACAAGCTGGCCAAGATCTTTGTGCACTGCTTCGAGTCGCGGGACATGACGCTCCAGCTGCTGGAGCGGTCTGTGACGCGGGAGATCGAAAAGACCGAGTACGCACAGGTTTTGTTCCGCGGCAACTCGCTGGCGTCCAAGATGATGACGGTGTACTCGCGGCTTGTGGGAACGCAGTACCTGCGGTCGACGCTGTGGCCGGTGATGTCTGCCGTTGTGGAGAGCGAAACGTCATTCGAGGTGGACCCTAACCGTGCGCGTGATGGCGAAGACCTGACAGACAACTTGGGCAAGGTGCGGCATCATGTGGAGGCATTTCTTGCGGCGATTTTGGACTCGATCGACTCGTGCCCGACGCCTCTGCGCAAGCTGTGTGCGGCGTTGATGGCGAGCGTGGATACCAAGTTCCCGGAATCACACTTTAAGGTTGTGGGCGGGTACTTTTTCCTCCGCTACCTCTGCCCGGCGGTTGTGTCGCCGCCGGCGTACTCGCTGATGGACTCGTTCCCCAAGAAGACAGCGCATCGTGGGCTGGTGCTCATTGCCAAGTCGCTACAGAACCTGGCGAATAACGTGCCGTTCTCTGCCAACAAGGAGCGGTACTTGCTGGACATGAACGACTTTATCGAGGCCAACGTGGAGCGGCTCAACGAGTTTTTTGAGGCGCTGGCGACGGTCGACGACGAGGTCGAGCTCCCTCCGCCGGCGGACATTGACGCGGCCAAGGCGCTGCAGGTCCGTGTTGATCTGCAGCGGTACCTCTCGGCTAACTACGACAACATTGTGGCTGCGCTGGAGAGTGGATGCGGGGCTGATGCGGCCGTGGTGGCTCAGTTTGCCGATGTGATGCAGACGCTGCAGCAGACGGTGGCAGCGGAGCAGAGCAAGGCGGCCAAGGCCAAGGGCGAGTCTGCGACGGAGCTTGACGGCGGTGGTGGCGACGACGAGGGCGGGAGCAGTGGCAACGACGGCCTTGTTCTCAACATGGAGCTGGAGTGGACAGAGAAGCCGCGCGATGCGGTGGCAATCACGCGCGACCTACTGTCGCGGCTGAAGAACATGGCCGAGTCTGCAGTCAATGATCTGGTGCTCTCGTCGCAGTCTCAGATGACGCTGGCGATGCTTGGGTCGGCGTCGGACACGTCGATGGACACGCCTGCGGCAATGATCGACATGCTCGGTGCGATTCCGTCGGCATCGCCGGGGCGGCTGGCAGACATGCGCGACCCGTACGAGTGGTCCAAGATTGCCAACTCGATCGACTTTTCCGAGTTTATGGTCGACACGGCCGAGCTGCAAAAGGTTGACCTTGCTGCGCTCGGCAGCCGGGCGGCGACGATTGCGTTCTGGATCAACGTCTACAACATGCTCGTTCTGCACACGCGGCTGTTGGTGGGCAAGATGCCGACGTCTGTCTTTGCGCGCAAATCGTTCTTCTCCAACTACAAGTACAACCTGGGCGGCCACCTGTTCTCGCTCGATGACATCTACCACGGCGTGCTCCGCGGCAACCCGCGGTTCCAGATCAAGCGGCGTGACGAGCGGGTCGAGTACGTCATCTCGGCGTACGACCCGAGGGTTCACTTTGGCGTCTCGCAGCTCAACGCGTCGTCGCCGGTCATCCGCATCATGACGGCCGAGACCGTCTTCCGCAAGCTCCTCTGGGCAGCCATCACATACTGCAATCGTGAGGTCTCGGTCTCGGCCGAGAAGCGCGGTGTGACGCTTCCCAAGCTCTTCTCACTCTACGCCACCGACTTTGGCCCGTTCAAGACCGACGTTTGGTCGGTGCTCGGCCTCTGGCTCAACGAGGACGTCAAAGACGTGCTCTCGTCGTTCCTCAAGACCGGCAAGTACAAGATCTCGTACAAGGACATGGACTACGGGCCCAAAGTGCCCGTCTTCGAGACAGACTCGGGCGCCGAGGCCTTTGCGGTCTTCTCGGCGCGGAAGGACGCCGAGAAGGCCGCGTCCGAGTCGGCGGCGCCCGGATCGTCAGCGCCGGCTGCCGCCAAAGCCATCGAGGTTACCGCGTCGACCGACGACGGCTCCGACGAAATCGAGTCGGTGGTGGTGGACCTCGACGAGCTTTTTGTGGTCAATGTGGAGGAGGAGTGGAACGATGAGGTCCGGCCGGCCGTCGCCGTCTCCATTGACCTCGTCACTCACCTCGGGCGCCTAGTCAAGACCTTTATGTACGGGTGGACGTCGGTGGCCGGCTCGCGCCAGTTCCGCGACTTTGTCCTTGTCGCTGGCGAGCTGCAGAAGGTCTCGCTGGCGCCGCTCTCGGCTAACGAGCGCAAGTGCTTCTTTATCAACATCTACAACACGCTTGTCACCCACCTGTACATCATGTGCGGGCCGCCGACCTCAATCTTCTCGCGCAAGTCGTTCTTCAAGAAGTTCAAGTACAACATCGGCGGCTACTCGTACACGCTCAACGACATCTACCACGGCATTCTCCGCTGCAACCGCAAGAAGATGTTCAAAAAGTCAGACCCGCGCCTCGCATATTCGATCCCACCCGGCGACTTTGATCCCCGCATCCACTTTGCCTGCTCTAACCTCACCGAGTCGGCCGGCCCCGTCCGCGTCTACCACCCGGCTACCATCGACGTCGAGCTTGACGCCCAAGTCGCCGCCTCTATCAAGCGCGTCATCGAAATCAAGCCGGCTAAGAACAAGATCTACCTGCCCAAGATCATCGACATGAATCTTTCCGACTTTGTCAAGAAGAAGGACATGGTCTACGATTTCTTCAAGTCCTATCTCGACGCCGACGATCAGGCCGCCATCGAGGCCTTTCCCAACACCTCCAAGAAGCTGCGCGTCTGGTACCGCGACTGGCAGTGGGCGCCCGACCCGCAGTTTCTGTGCTGAGCAAATGAAGCAAGAGAGCACAAGCAAACGCAGTCTATCTAGTCCGTGCGCTGGCACCTGGCATCAGAGCTCGAGTACCTCGGTCTCGTCGCGGGTGGTGGTGAGGAGCGGGATGACGGCCTCGACGTCGGCGTAAAAGGCCGGGGTGATGGTCGGGTTGGCTGCCTCGAGGGCAGCGCACTCGGCGGTCGCCGAGGTAATGCGGCGGATGACACGCGAAGTGCCAAAGGCGTGGAAGAGGCGAGTGTCGTTGACGGCAACAACGACGCCGTCGACACGGATAAACTGGCGGAGGAGGCAGAAGAAGGCCGAGGGCATGACCCGCAGCTTGGCAACAAGGGTCGACGAGCCGTGGTCAGCCAGCTCGTCCTCAAAGAACATGACCTCGTCAAAGAAGAGGATAGGCTCGCGCTTGCGGAGCAGGTCGTAGTCGATCGACTTGGCCGGCGGGACCGGCGCCGGGACGGCGACAAAGACGCCCGGCCCGTCGCCGTCGCCGGGCGTGATGTTGTCGGCGGCGTCATTTTCAGGCACAGGCTGGACCTTGACCTCGACAGGCTTGACCTGCGGCGCGCCCGGAAAAACACCAGCGCCGGGGAGGTTGGCAGCGTCTCGCTCCCGGTCACAGGCACCTTCAGCTCCTTGGACGGTTCGACAAGCATGCCGGTGGTCCCGCCGTACGCCGTGTTGTACGTCCAATCAAAGGCATCGACCGAGTCCTGCGCCTTTTCGGTCGACGCGGTCTGCATCCACGTCGCCGACGCCGCCACCATCGGCGGCTGCGCCTGGTTGTCGACCATGGCGAGGGCATCAAAGGCCTTGAACGTCACAATGGCGCCCGAGGAGTGGACAAACTGGACCCTCGCACCGCCAAAGACCATCTCGGGTAGCTCCGGTAGACCGAGCGCCTCACGCCATGCCTCGCCTTCATCCGACGTGAGGATCGATGACTTGACCGTCCGGATCTTCCATCCGTCTTTCATCCCCCCGATTCGATGGCGTGTGTGAGTGAGGGAGTGGGGGAGGGGAGGGGAGGGGAGCGTACTGATGTCAATGCCCTGGACCTGGAGCACGGTCGAGGCCTCCGGGGGCTGGACAGGCAGGGAGGTGCGTGCAGCCATGGTGAGTGGGGTGAGGTGGGTGGGTGGGTGGGTGGGGTGAGGGTCACAGTGGTGGAGGAAGAGTGGGGAGGGTGGAAAGGGTTCTGGTAGGGGGCTTTATTTTTTTTTTTTTAGGGGTTGGGGGGGGGGGGGGGTATTTGCTTTTTTTTT